TTTAGTTGAAGAAGATGAAGACTTTAAAACCTATATGATGATATATACAGATTAAACTTTCATCATTGGATTTCTTTTCTTTTTCTTATAAAATGTGCATTGACCTTATACATTTATACTGAGCTTTTTATGTCTTTAATATATTGTTATAATTGTATTTCATAAGTCGACAAGGTTTCAGTTAGGGCAAAATATCTAGTAAATCGAAAAAAAAACATTATCGCGTAATACACGATGCTAAATGATTCGCAATAATTACATGTATTAAAGGAAGGGGTTAAATGTCACAGTTAAACGTAATTCTTTTAACTTTTTAGATTAGAATGAAGAGATGGATATTATAGATTTGGCAAACGCACACAGGTCTACAGGAATATGTTTCCATCTGAGAGATGTAGATTTTTCAGATACGTCCTTAAGCACAGCTGCAGATATCATGATAGCACACATCAATCGGGTGCTTATAGATCTGAATTTAAAAAAGGAAATAGAGGAGTTCATTATTGGAAAGACACATACTAGGTTGAAAAATAATCATAACTTCCCAGACAATGATGTAGACTGTTGGAATCTATCGGAAATTCGTTCAGCTTGGAGGAGATTTAGGGACGCCGGATTTCATAACCTTATTGTCCTGTCTATAGTAGATGAGAGCTGCGCTCCGTCGATGAATCCGTTATGGCCAAACAACGAGGCTGAAGAATTAAATATTGCACTGGAACAGTCATTGATATACTGTTACCAAAATAAAGACGTAAAACTGGGAAATCAAATATTTGAAGAGGGATTAAGAAATGTTGAATCGAATCATGGAGTGTTGTTTATTGCCATCAAGTATAAAGAACAAATGGAGGATCAGTCTATCGTGCGGCGTGTTCTTTTGTGGTGTTGTGGAATCATTCTCTCTTTTGTGTTCGGGGTCATTGAAATGATGCGTTTCTTCCTTAGATAGTGCATCGGAAAACAGCGAAATCTCGAAGGAAAGAATAAATAATGTGTTTTTAAAAATATTTCATTTTATAAAATTAAAGCTTGCTTTCAAGTGAATTTTGCAAGAGTAGACCATTTTTACGATAGATGAAAAACTATGTTTAGATATACTCCAAGAAATTATAACTTTCTCTAATGTTGTAGTCTGAGACATATTAAAACACCATTATTAACACTAAACACTATGTATTTTATTGACATTAAAATATATCTGCTACTATTATTTATGTAAAAAGGGACTGGAATATTTATGGAATATGTATATTTCATGTATGTAGAGATCTAGAGTAAACGTATGCATTAAACGAGTATAGTCTTTAGTGCAGTTCTTAATTCATATGTAGTTTGGCTAGAAAGAAAATCAGTAAATTGCCTTTGAAAAGCGGTTCCTCTTAACCCATTCTCCAGTAGGGGCGAGGAGGGTGCATGATATGAACATAAAAACTTCAATTCACATTAAATAAAGATGCTGTTTTACATTTATTTGACTAATCAAGACCATATATAAATGAATTTTACAGATTTCTCAAAAAGCATTTCTAAATAGGAGTTTAGACCCATTATTGTATGTCCACCCTATTTTGGGGGTTATTATATTAACAAGATAATTCTTCACTAATTGATCGATATGAATAAACATGGCTTTCTTACTTTTCATGAGAACATCTTTTTTTAAATTCCATCATTCTATATTTCTGTAAAAATTGATAGCCCACTTGTCGGGTATTATCATTTATGATTTTAACAAATTTGAATTTACACTACCTGAGGATCATTTCACATGAGTATAAAAATGGTTTTTCATGGCTTTATTTAAGAGAAATCTTTTCCAGGTTATTTCTATATTTTCATATGCTTAACTTTGATTTCCAATTTTTGCCCCAACATACTCCCCGTGGTCATTGTCTGATAGTCTTTACTTTATGAGAATGCTAAGAATATGAAGACAACGCACAAAGTTCAAAAATACGAAAGCCGGATAGGCTCATTTCTGAAAAGATAAAAAAAAATATTTAACTCGTTATAACGAATTAATTATCTCGTTATAACGACTTAGTTATCTCGTTATAACGAGTTAGTATCTCGTTATAACGAGTTAATTATCTCGTTATAACGAATTAATTATCTCGTTATAACGACTTAGTTTTAGCTCGTTATTACGAATTAGTTATCTCGTTATAACGAGTTAGTTATCTCGTTATAACGAATTAGTTATCTCGTTATAACGAGTTAGTTATCTCGTTATAACGAGTTAGTTATCTCGTTATAACGAGTTAATTATCTCGTTATAACGAGTTACTTATCTCGTTATAACGAGTTAATTAACTCGTTTTAACGAGTTAGTTATCTCGTTATAACGAGTTAGTTATCTCGTTATAACGAGTTAGTTATCTCGTTATAACGAGTTAATTATCTCGTTATAACGAGTTAATTAACTCGTTATAACGATTTAGTTATCTCGTTATAACGAGATAATTATCCCGTTATAACGAAATAATAAGTTACCCCTGTATTTTCAAATTTGATAGCAATAAAGGAATTAAAAATGGCTGTAGTTTTAATGCCATTAATGTTTACTTGATAATTATCAGTCGTAATTAACTTAAAATTGATAAAAATTTGCAAGTTTATTAATCCTGAACGATCTTGCTGTCAATAATCACAGTTTGATAGTATAATCAATGTCTAAGTACCTAAATTATACATTATAATAGAAAGCTAAGGCAGGCGTTAATGCAACATATATTGTATACACTTACAGTGTGATACATATTATTTTGAGAGTCAGAAATGTTTAGAAGAAGGGGGATATGGAGTCATCAGCAATAAGGTCATGGGCGTAAAATTCGGGGGCTACTCCCCACTCATAACATAACATAACGAGGCAGTCATAAGTTTTCGTATACATGTGCATGTATTTGTCTTCGGACTTTCAAGTAAACAACACGAATCAACTGCATCGTTTATACATAAACGAACTACAATTACAGGCACAACCCCTAAAAAAACAAACTAGTTTTTCAATAAAAATCTTTATTATACACGCTATATAAACAAACTAGATCGACTCGGTTTTATATGCTATACTTCCCATCACTTAGACATATCAACTTTAGACAAGTCTTAACTTGTAATAACGAGAAAATTAACTCGTTATAACGAGAAAAATTAACTCGTTTTAACGAGATAACTAAGTCGTTATAATGAGATACTAACTCGTTATAACGAGATAACTAACTCGTTATAACGAGATAATAACTATAACGAGATCGTTATAACGAGATAAACTCGTTATAACGAGATAAATAACTCGTTATAACGAGATACTAACTCGTTATAACGAGATAACTAACTCGTTATAACGAGATAACTAAGTCGTTATAACGAGATACTAACTCGTTATAACGAGATAACTAACTCGTTATAACGAGATAACTAAGTCGTTATAACGAGTTAATTTTTTTTTATCTTCTCAGAATTGAGCTTATCCGGCTTTCGTACAAAAACACCATTTGAACAAAATAAATTTCAAACAAACAGAGCAAAGACAGACTTCTAAATTCATCGAAGGTACGACCAAGTACTATAGAGGACTTAGCATCTGCCGTTTTACTCGCTGTGTGTGCCTAGTCATGATAGGATAAAACGAAAAATCCACAAAGATTCAGTTTAGAAATAATGGCCATCAATTGGTTTAAAAAGCATTTGTCCGCATTCGATCCAATAATAGAAATTCATGTATTTAGTGAAAATTTCGTTGTGTCAGCTACAGAATCGACAAAATATTGAATTGTTGACTAAAAAAGCCGACTGTTGATTTCCTTGTTTCAATAAATTATTTGTCAATGATTTGTCTTGGTTTAGAATTTGCTCTTGAGTATCTGTCATTAACTTCTTGAAAAAATTTACACGTTTTGTTTGGTTTTGAGGGGATGGGGCGGGGGGATAGTTCTTGAGAAATTTTAAAAGATGAAATTACATTTACTTGAATTTTAAATAAGTCCCCGTAGAGTTTGGCATGACTCTTTATGTGAACAAATTTAAATTCCTTTACAACAGGATGATTAGTGGCATAAAAGTATTTTGTTGAAATTGGCCGACTGATTCTTGAAGATAAATGAAATTCTAAAAAGTTTACTCCTAAGAAGGAAAACAGGCACATTTTAATCAGGAAAGCCCATATAAAACTGGTTCAAGTGAGCTAAAAGATGTCCATAGGGCTCATTATGTCTATGATCAGATTATATTATATAACCAATGTGTCCTGAAAGAGTATATATTGTTTTGTACCATTTGATCGGTCGGTTTTTAGACCAAGTTTGTACAATCAATCTGTGCTGAGAAATGTGAACATTTAGCTAAGCTGAGGATAACATGACCTTTTATGAAGATCGAAGGCCAAGGAAGGAAAATAAAGGATAGGAAGCCTTTGTTTTTAATGACTCTAAAAATAAATGGCGACATACTTGACTGTTCTTTCATATGATGTGCATTGTAAAAACTATATGATTATCATTTATTAATTTGAGGACAGATGATACATTTCAATAATTTACAACTTTTTTCCAAGATTTTGTTATTGAAGTATTGCTTCTTTAATGTGTTTACTATAAAAAAAATTGAGGAAACTTACCAGGCATTTTTGCAAGATAGCAGAAGGTAGTGGTTCTTATACGATCAAAAATTCTTATAATTTAATTTGTAATTACGAATAACCAATTCAAGAATTTGGTTATAACGAATTCAACAAATCTGTAAACAGATTACCGAAAAAAATTTAATCTTCGAAACTAACATTTTTCGTGGTTAATTTTTTAAATAAATCAGATACTGGTTTGAAAATTGAAATGTTATCAAAATATTTAATACTTTTCATACAGTGCCAAAATATAAAAATAAACCCAGACATTTGAGAAACGTATCGTCTGACCTTAAAAAAAGATCAAACAATGACCAAAATAGGAAGGTCTAGAATCAGTCATTACATCTTACTATCAATAATCTTGTAGTGTGATTATGTGTTTGATTATATGAAAATCTGCGTATTGAAATTGTATTGCGGTGCTAAACAAATAAACACAAAATGTTGTCCTCGTTTCATATCTTTTCTGTGCAAATAAACCTATCTTTAGTAAACGTGTACCATAAAGTGATACATCAAATTTGAACTATATTTTGACTGGATAAATACCATCATTCACGGTAGGATCTGGACATTTATTTTCATAAACATTTCTTCGATTTATAAGTATAAAATATCTCAAATAATGAACCATTTTGAATGATTTTTTTCTTAAAGAGGAGACAATTTTTTTTCTATCATCAGAAATTGTTTTGTTTTGATCGTAATTTTTCATCTATTCCATAAGAATGATTCAAAATTCATATATTCATTTTCTTCTTTTTATAAATGTGTTCTACATATATACAACTTCATTAACTGTTGACATCAAGAAAGAAACGAATTTCTAATAAGCTTCTTGTAGTGAAATATGATGGAAAGACGAGGCTCAATAAGTCACTAAAACCTAGAAAAAATGTAAATCATGACGTAATAATCTTTTTAACGCTATCCAAGTAGGTTTCTTATAGTATACACTGAAACACATCTATACATTTATATGTAAACAAACCTGTTTAATTTCTTTAATCTCATACTCTCTATGTAAGAGCTTTTTGTAATTTCAATTTCTTGTATTTATTGGATAGTTTTAAGGATAGCTTACAACATTAAGATATCTGGTGTAGAATCGCAAAATAAGGCATTAAGGTTAGGTTGTACGTAGGTTCGAATCCTACAGTAGGACGGGAAGATCCGTTCTTCGGATGAGGGTCATTTGTCGCATTTGCAATCCTATTTCGGTTATTATTAACATTAAATTATCATAATTTTTTTTTATTATGAAACGAAAATGCATATTTTTATCTCAGCGTTTCTCTAAACTTTGCATAAAATATATACAAAGCCTCAAGATTTGTTTTAAAACGTGAGCATAAAATGCATATCTCAAACGATGGACGAATGCTTTAACAAATCTATTTATTCATGTTTGTCTTGCTATGAACATCGTTCATGTATTGATAGTGTCATTTGGTATATTTTAACAATTATTTGTCTGACATATGACACTTTAATTGTTCATTCTTCATAGACCTCTTTAAGCTTGATACTTTTCGAAGATAATGAATGCATAACCTTTGCAATCAACTTTAAAATACTTTAAGCAGGATACGTCCAAAATGTTTTTAATGCATGTTTTTAAGGAAATAATTATTTAGAGTATACCAATCAAAATAAATTACCTTTAATTGTATTACCACGTGTATGGTATCGCTGATCAAAGTCGTCCAAAGTGAACAACATGCTCTTATCAAGGTAAACATTCGGTGTTGTTTTGTTTTGTTTCATTGTTGATGATGGAACATAGAAAAACATTCCAGCATGTTGATGAAGGTACAATAGGTCGTATATCGTGTTATGCTGCACGATGTTAGGGGAATGTAAATAAGTACAAACAATCATATAGTATATAGTATAGAAAAATAAAACCGATAACTAAATCCGTATTGAAGTTAGTATTCAACAGTCTAATTCATATTACTCTAAATCTCAAAATTTTTTTACAGAACAATGTAAATATTAATACGAAATTTCTTAAGTAACAAACAAAGTGCAAAACGTATCTATTACAATAGAGTTAAACTAGTACGTAATTTTCAAGTCAGTTTTGTGTTTTTTTTTACAAAAATCCAAAACTAATGTTTGACGATCCTTCATAATAATTGTTCAACTAAGAACACATCTCTTCCTAAGGTTGCTTCCACTGGGCAACAGAAACTAAAGTCATTTTTAGCCATCTACCTAACACCACTGAAACAAACAATCAATCATGTCTGTAAAATCTTTTGTCTTCATAAACCTTGTTCAAATAATTATATGTTACTGCAACGGAATTTCCAAGTTATAGGCCTCTTAACAGCCATCCGTTGCTCAGGTATTTTAGATATTGCACAAGATTTTCAAACTTTTTAAAATGATAAAGTATAAGCACTCGCTAATTAATCAGTTAAACGTACACAACATGTTTTCTTGTTATTGAATGAAGTGCAGCCTGTGAAACTTGGAATGGTAATTGTATACTGCTACTACACTTTTTAACACATTTGAGGGGTACTTGTCATAAAGAGATTATGAAAAATCACAAAATACTTCTTTAAAATATGGTCGTGTGTAGACTTTATTGACTGAACAGTATTTAGCAATATTACTCAGGAATAAATGCTTTCATACTGAATTTACTTATAAGAAGAGTCCACATTTTAAAAATATAGGAAAATGAACTCAACTTTTACTGAAATTTCTACCCTTAATTTGTGATTTTTTTCAAAAGTTTGAAGTCAGAACGTTTTCAATCTCTATTATGAGGAACAACATGAATGTGTGGAAAAAAAACCAATCAGAATATATACTTTTCCCTGCAAAATAATGAGAGATAGGTTATTTATCATTGCTACTTTTCTTCACCTCTTTGCACAGAAGTAGGATTTGATTATTAAAAGATTTTGAGGGGTTACTTTGATATTTACAATGTGAATCTTTATCAAATATTGTTATTTTTAATTTTAAAGATCACATTTGATAGAAAAAAATATCAAACACCAACCATTAAATTACACATGAACAATTAACAAATGATTATGAAAAGAAATGCATATCATTTCATGATAGACATCACAACATTTACACACAATATTCAAAACATCTTTGACTCAGACACATTTCATCAAGATATTATACTATTCAGTTGGTAATTGAAGATTTATTGGATGTTTGCATGATTTTAAATTGAATTCTACAATTTTATTGAAGTGCAAAGTACGGGGAAACGTAACATTTAATTAATTATAACATCATAATGGATCTAGCACAGACCAAACAAATGCACTACTAGTATATGAAACAAATGGAGATAACGACCAGTGTTCACGATCAGTAGCCCATAAATCAATACAAAATAGGAGCAGAACAAACACAGACCTCCGAAGCAACAGAGGTGGGATCAGGTGCATTGGAGGAGTAAGCATTCCCTGCTGATCGGCCACACCCGCCGTGTGCTCCTTGTCAAGATCTGGATATAACGGATAAATCCGTTGTCAATTCAGTGTATAGATAATGGATTAAAATTAGTATGAAAAACGTCAGTCAACATTTGACTCTTAATGATAAACTGTATTTGCTGATCATGACAAGGTCATTGTATTGACAATAGAACTTACGAAATGATGACTTTAAAGGAGACTGTGTGATATTCTCGTTTCATCAACTTGTTTTTCAACAATTTACCTCATTTTAGAAACTGTTCATATGTAGAGCATGCTCTTGCGTATCGAATCAACTAAGATATATAAACTCCGGTGATGAAGGTATATTGCTGCATAAGTAAGGGAAGTTGACGATTGAAAAGATAAAGTCGTTACGTTTATCATAGAGCTTGGTTGTTATATAACCATTGACGTCTTTTCAAATAAAACATCCAAATATAAAACAGATGTCTTATACTCTGTGGTACATGTATCTTCTATCTCAAATTCACCAAGATATATCGTATCGACATAAGAATTGAAATTACCATTGTTAATTGACAAAACGTCATCGATATATCTATATGTCGAGTTGAAAACCACATCAAGTGTTTTCTTCTTTTTTGCATAGAAGTTGGACAAATTGGGCTTCATGTGAATATGAAAATAGGTCTGTTAATAACGGGGCTAAAATGTTTCTGATCTGAATCGTAGTTTTGTACATTTGGAGATAGATCGTGAGCTTTTTGATCACCTCTCGTACATCTGATTAACGTCACTTCTCGGATACATTTATATTGAAATTAAGTCCCGCCATTTTTTAAGTTTTTCCTTAACTACTATATTATTTTAGTGAAAAATAAAGAAATTTGGTAGAACATTTATTAGAACCTGCTATGTATCTTTATTTTTATGACTTTTTACGTAGTTTATAAGAGTCTAGCTTAGGTATGGTATGGTAATAGGTATGGTATTATGGTATGGTATGGAAGCTTAGGTATGGTAATTAATTGAATTCAATTTGATCGCTGGGATACTAAAAATAACTATAGCTGGCCTATGATTTTGAAGAATTTCTCCCTTAATAGAAAGGCAAGTAATAACCCTAACATGCATTTTTTTGAAAATAAAATACATATATTTCCATATCCATATTTTTTTTTACATGAGAATTCTCATCAGCTTCAAAGAAAACTTAAATCAATATATTTTTCGGAAATTCAATAACATAAATTGTATGACATTTCTATACATTTTATGCATCAATTCCTTGCGTTAAAAAATATATTCATATCAGCCAAACTGAGCAAGATCATTGTCAATTAAATAAATTGACTTAAATCCATGCAAATGAAAAACAGAGCTTGATCTTTGCTGAAATAAAATAAAGCCCAAACATGTATTATATGTTTTACATATGCCTTCATTTTGAGACCTTGGAAATAGATGGATTTTTTTCTGTAAAGCAGGCACATTTATATTAAGAAGCCGCAGATCAAAATGAAAACAAATGAACAATGGATTAACATTAAAAGACATTGATATATGTAAAGAAATACATTTTCATAACAAGTAATGTATAACAACAACAACAACAAAAATACTTATTTCAAGTTGAACTGTTGAACTAAATATTTATACATAAACATTAAGTTATAAGGATCCATAAAATTTACGTCTGATTAGCTATGCTAAAGATTCAATAAAATTTTTTCAAGATAATTTTAACTACGAAGTGAATTATCTTAAATAATATCCCAAATAAAGCACACGTAAGAAAATTTCACATTCTGTAGATATTATTATTTTCTACAAACAAAATAAACTAAATACAGTGTATACATGTGTATTTCTGCAGCTGTGAAAAACAATATTTGGTAAATATGCTTGGATTTCTTGATATTGATCATTTAAAACAACATTGTCTTTAAAACATAAACCAAAAACTTAAAGATCATAAATCATTTGCATACTCTTTAAAATGACATGCTGCTGTACTATATCAACTTAATGAGATGAAGGAAGAATTATGCAATAATGTAATCACATTTTTATCCGATATTTATGTTAGAAATTCATGATTGATGGAAGCCTTCGTAGTCAGTATATGAGACAGACTTCTTTGTGTCCAGTTCTTTGGTAAGCACTCTTGGTATATCTAGTGTCTTTGGGTCCGTGTCGGGGTATGCTTTCCATATAATCTGTTTACATCTCTCTCTCAAAGAATAAACTGTAAAGTAAAGATTGATGTTAGATCAAGGATTACAGTAGTAAATAAGAATATAAAAAATGATGGAATAAATGTTAGCAAGAATTTTGCCCAATTTCATCCCTTTTTATTTATTTCTATTTTGATGACAGTCAAGATCTAGTTAGAGTTATCGTTCATAATCTATAAACAGAAACACATTTCACGAGTACCTGGAATGTCGATGTAGACAAGTTTGTACGTTAAATCTGCTCCCTCGGCAGGGTAAAACACGCGTTGTTTGTCGATCACAAGTCGGTCATTTGTCACAGTTTCTCTTGCACACCATGGATGTGTAACGTATGTGTTCATATCTATAAATTCCCCTTTCTTCAAAATGGAGTACCTCACCAAGCTTCCTTTAAAATTAAACCAAAACAACGTGGCGATTCTGTCACAGCGATTTTTAAAGCGCACATAAGTAACAATGTCATTATTTAATGAGCGTGGTTCCTTGCTTTCTTCTCTTTCCGTCGATCTACCGACATCTTCATCTTGATTTCCAGCCATTTTACATTCTTGTTTCAATCGATGTATGTCATCTGATGAACGTTTATAGCTGCACGTAGTCCCTCCTTTACGAAGAATGGCGTTTATCAATGTTTAAGAAATAAACATGGCTGGTTTTTAACTTTAAAATAGAAGGAAGACAGTCTTGAAAATTTCTGTCTTTAATGTTTACTAACAAAACGTAAACAATTCCCACTGTGCTGTTGCTAAAAGCTGAAAACGAGCCTTTATAACCGAGAATTTAGTCTTCGGATCAATGCCGAGGTCAAATTTACACAATCATTTATAGTTCAAATAATACAATGGCCATACTACAATAATTATTGTTAACCGTTCATCTACGTGGATACTTATATAATAGTATCAACATCAGTCAAATTTGAACCTAGAACTAAACTTTATAGAGTGAAAAGTATTTTACATGCGTATCATTTATTTGTATTTAGCTCAAATAGTTTATAGGTTGTAAATTTTGAACTTCTTTAAGTGAAGAGAATACTCGAAATTGGATATTATATGATACCCGACATCGGGTATTGAATCATCGAAATAGGGTATAGGTAGTAAAAACATATTTAAAATAATGTCGCAATCAATATCAACGTGCTCTTTTGTCACAGTACTATAAAGAATATGAGAAAAGTGGCGAAACTCTCGATTATGTTGTTGAAATCAATGTTTATGATACATGTTACACCCAGCAATCTATCAGAAATACAAATTACCAAATGCAACCTTTTTTATTTTTTATAATATATTTATATTTTGTATGTACATGTATATAAAGCAAAAACCATTCATAACCTACGTCCGTCCCTCTGTTACGCTTTGAGGAAACCCCTCTCTATCCGCAACTACTTCATTACCATGCACTGAATAAAATTTAATGAGACTTTCACAAAATCTTTGATACATAGTGCCATTGTGCATGTCTTATTTTACTGTTTGATCGGACACATATTTTGGGTTTCCCAGATCAAACTATGGTCACGACCATTCTTTTTATATTATTGAAGGGTACCCAATTCTTATCCGCAACTCCTCCTCTTATTTTACCTTTTCGTTTGACAATTATTTCGGGTCTGCAAGAGCAAAATATGGACTTTGCCATTATAACCATATGTGAAGCGGGGGATATTATTTAATGAGCTCATTGCTCAAAGTACCTTTAGTTTATAAACAGTATATATTTTCATTCCTATGTATGTTGTTATATGTTCTTTGGAACCTGAATCAAACACATACAACAAATTACAGTTGAAAAAAAATTATGACAAAACCAATGTATACTTTATCTTTTCGTACATATATACAGTGATTTCCTAGGTTTTCCAATATTTAAAAACAAACTGTTATTACTTTTAAAAACTTTTATTTAAAACTAAATTTAAGAAGGATCCAGTGATTCTAACCAACCAATTTACCGGAGGGATGTTTAAATAACATATATTTCCTACAATTTTTGTGTTTTAATTATAATTATTATAATCTCTCTTGTTCTTGTATTAACATCTTTCGTCTTTAAGACCAATATTTTGTAGTCTGAATTTGTTTTGAAATCTTAATCATGCATGCATGCACACACACCGATAAACCAGATCGTAGAATGTTAATTTGTAGACATCGCATCTGATATCTTTTTCCCAGTATAGTATGATGACTCTGATTCCAAAAAATTCATGAAGTGTGTACAGGACTAAAAATATCAACTATCTTTCATCCTTTATGTCGTTTTCTTTGGACTGTATTCTTCAATGTACATCAGGGGAAGAAAAACGTCAGATGATTTGTTTACATAATTCCTGCAAATGCAAAAAAGGGGTTATTATATTACCATGCAAAAATAATAAATATATATATATATATGATTTTTTTGTTCCTTAAGTCGTTTTCTTTTTTTTCAGCCAAAACAATCACAATTTTCAACTGACATAGTTGTATCATTACAACTACAAAGAATTTTTGGGTCTTAATACCGGTATTTTTGACAATGATTTACGATCATTTCCACTGGACTTTAATCACCATCCTAATGAAGTATAGTAAAGTTTTATTAGGTGCAAAACTCAAATATTGCTTTATTCTGCTAGAACGTGGTAGTCAATAAGAAATATATAATAACTATCTATGAACACGTTGGTAACGGTACCTTCCCGTGTCTCTGTTGGATAATACACCGTAACGTTATCGATTTCAAGTCGTTCATTAGTGTCAGCGTCTTCGGCACACCAGGGATGGTTCATTATTGTCTTCATATTGATGAATTCATCTTTCTTCAATTCTGCATACTTCACCAATTCTCCGTTATAATTAAACCAGAACAAAATGGCAACTCGATCACAGCGGTTCTCAAAATGTACAAAGGACTTGATTTCATTTTTTAGAGAACGTGCCTCTGTATCGGCAGCCATTTTGTTTCTCTTTCAGTCAAACTCTTTGAACTTTGATTTGGGATTAATTAATATAGAAATGGTCATTTTGCGAGGCCATTTAAATAATTTGCAAAATTTCAAATTCCGATTATTCAAGGGATTTTCAGTGGTAAACTCTTTTTCAATAAAATTGAGACATTTTTACAAAGATTTAATTCTGAGAACTGTATTTATTTATTTTTTTTAAATCATTATGTTTTTTGTTTTTTTTAAAAATGCTTATTTTCAAATCCATTTTTCAGTAATATTTAGAAATAATTATAGCAAGATATCACAAATCAAAAATTTATATAGAACTGTAAATAAATGTTGGTGAAAGCAATGATCGAAAACTATCTTTTATAGATAATACAATACTGTGAAATCATTAATTTTCGTGCGATTTAATTTTCGTTGTTTTCGAGGTGTGGAGAGACCCACGAATTTATGACCACCACGAAATGTAAAATTTTATATGCATTACTACTAAATATTTTCCAACCACGAATTCAAATCCACACAAACAAATATTTTTACTTGACCTCTACTATGCATAGCCACAAGAATGAATGTGCATAATTATATAGAAGATATCAATTATTTTTCATTTTACTCTCAATATGTTCTCTTTATTTATAATTTTCTGTTTTAACAAATAATTAATTAAGGAGATTTTTGTCTTATTATTTAAATCGATAGTTGATGCCAGCTGCGGAGTCTAAACGACCAGTTGACGGAGGATGGGCCTGGATTGTACTAGCAGGTCAGTCTGACTTTCAAGTTTTCTTGGAACATTAAATACGAGTAAGTGTATGTACGAAAAAACAAAATCTTATATGTGCACAGTTGTGTTTAACACTTTGCCTAGGAACGTCGAGTTATCATATATAATTATTGTAATGTTAAAGTATTAAAGAGACAAAACATTGGACATACTTTTGTTCTAGAATAATTTATTGAACTGTTATTTCCGTGTTGTCCATATCTAATGAATAAATTAAATCTTGTTAATTTCGTGATGATGGCAAATTCAGTATCTCAAACTGATGCAGAGATGTCTATGCAAATTAAGTATTCCCAATTTAAGTCCACAAAATATAATTATCTTTAAACATTTGTAATTTTTGGCACAGTTTTCAAGATTAAAAAAATGCTTGAATTTATTTATGTTTTGGGTTTCTTTAATATCATTTTTATTACGAATTTCATCATCCAATGCCTAGTTTGCATCAATGTGCATCGGCAAAATAAGTTTAAGTAAATGCTGACCATTATTAATAAATACATTCTTTCTACATGAAAAGTTTTTTTCTTTTATTGAAATGAGGATTATCATTTTGTTTTTGTTTTTCATACTTTCAGCCTCTACTGTACACTTCTTTATCTTTGTGGGCTTCGTCAAAAGTTTTGGGATATTTTTCGTGGCATTTTTGAAGAAATATGACGCCACTTCTTCTGATATATCTCTTGTGATCTCCATCCAGACAATTAGTAGCACTCTCTCATGTAAATCTCTCTCTCTCTCTCTTAAATGATACCATGTTCTTTTAAAAATCCAGATTTTCTGCTGCTTTTATTAATAAATAATTATAAATTTACAGTACAGGTTTCTCTTTTCAGTCTTATTATCTTATTTTATATTTTTTGTAGCGGTCATTGTTCTAGGTATAGGGACAAGATTCTTTGCTGAACGAACGTTAGTCATGTTTGGTGCTTTCCTAACGGCGGTGTCGCAAATTGGCAGTGCGTTTGCTCCCAGTGTTGCTGTTTTGATGGCAACACAAGGAGTCATCTTTGGTACTTAACCTTTTATATATTTTCTCTGAGGAAAGTACATATATTTTTGTGTTTGGCAGCTCAGGTTATCTAGTACTAGAGGGCATGATTATAACTGATAAAAGTTTTCAAAAGCCACAGCATTAATGGAAAAAAAACAAGCGAACTTGTATCCCTTTATAATTTTGAGATAGAGAAAGGTGAATGATTGAAGTCATCTGAAATAATGAAATAAAATAAAAAATGATTAGTCTAACTTCTAACTACTTTGATCCTAGGTTAATATTTTTTATTATAAAATTTAGGTCTTTTTTTTAAAGAAAACTTACGACTCAAAACTGTTGTTGCCATAAATAAGATTGTTGATACAATGTACTTTCTTGATTTAAAAAAATCAAAATATTTTTTTTAATCCGATCTTCTTCCAGTTTCTGCATATTAAATACAACATAACTTTTGAAGAACCATAGAATATGAATATAGAATGTATATACATTAGTGAGAACAGAATTTGCATTTATTTGTTAATTGTTGACATGAAATGATCTCTTTTCAAAAATGTACATCCAATCTTATGTCTCATACAGAAGAAATATTTCGAAATATAATCAAAAATATGAATGAAAATCAGCTAACTTTGTTTTCTTTATTAGGTATTGGTATATCAATGACACAACTTGCACTTCTCTTGATTTTGTCCCGATATTTTGAGAAAAAACGAGGATTTGCCAACAGTTTTGCCAACGTTGGAGGTAGTATAGGAGGACTACTTTGGCCAATCTTACTAAAAATCTCGATGGACTATCTTGGACTTTTTGGGACATTGATAATTGTCAGTGGAATGTTCCTACAAGCCATCGTTTGTGGGGCATTAGTGAGACCCTTACCGCCAATGGGCGGTAAAATTCAAACATTAGAGGTGGATGATGATGACAGAGGAAGTGCAAGTCATAAAGACACAAAAGAACAAAATGTGTATGAAAAATCAAACGGCACATATACCCTTCCTAATGGTAAGACTAATAGTCAGCGGCCTAATGGCCCAGTGACTGGAAGGAGAAGAACACAGTCGGAAAACATTATAGAGACTAACAAAGTTTCTAACCTTCTTCACAGAACAGCTATAAGTACCCATGACTTACAAGAGGATTTTAAAAAGTTGTACTTTTCTCCATCTCTACAGACTTTAGGAGTGTGGTCTTCAATTGAAAAGAGAGACTCTTCTTATAGTCGCCAGTCAAAAGAGAAAACACAGCGGCTTCAAGAAAAAAATGATAACCAATGTTTTAATTTTGCGTTATTTAAAAACCCTCTTTTTTACATCTTTACAGTGAGTTCTATTCTGAACATTTCTGCTGCAGGCTTGCCTGTCAATTATATACCCCCATTTGCACGTGACTGTGGATTAACAGATGAAAAAATTGCTCTTTTAGTCACTATTTGCGCTGCATGCGACCTAGTTAATAGAATCATCGTGACATTCATTGCTGAGAGCAAAACTTTTAAGCGGCACCAATTTGTAGCCCTAACAATGCTTTTGAATGGACTGTCTTGTATGTTTGTACGATTTTACGACGACTTCTTCACTCTGATTATATTTTCCGTGTTGCATGGTTTGTTTGGACAGACCTATTTTTCCTTGTTTCCGGCTATAATTGTAGACTTTTTAGGATCAGAAAATCTTCGCCACGGTCTCACCACTATTACAGTTACTCTGGGAATCTCAGTTTCACTTTCTACTGTACTAATAGGTAAAATTTACTTACAATCTTCTGTTTATGACAACAAACCCAAAAAGGTTTGTAAGGTAACTACCTGAAAAACATGTCCAATATCTCGTACATTATAATTTTTTTAATTTTTAGCTCATTTTTAAGAACCACTTTACCACAATCTAAAGTATCTCAATGATTCCATCTTTTAATCATTTCTTTTGGAAAATGAATGCTATTAGATAATGATAATGCAATATTTCTAGGGATCCTTTGATTCAAATATGTTCAAAACATAGTCTTGGTTCAAAGATTGCACAACAATAAATAAATACATTTTTTGATATAAAAAAGGATAGGAATTGTGCAAAATTATTCAAAAACAAGATGATTATATAAAATGAGAATAAGATGAAGACCCTTAAATTTAGGGGTGGTTATTTTTTTTTTATACATGGAACACTAGTAATTAAGAATACCGTAGCGGGTTATTTTAGCGGGGTGCTAATTTTGGCTTATTTTTCGCGTCTTGATGATAGCCCGCTTTAATCGCTAAAATATTCAGTACTTTTACTGTGTTTATATGCCTGAAACCCTGTGTCCGCTAAAATGAATTACGCCAGAATTATTGGTATAACTTTGAGCAGGCAAAACGCCAAATTTTACACCCGCCAAGAAAACCCGCTATACGGAATTTTTTTTTAAAAACATGTGTCCAAAGCACGTATCACTCACACAATATGCATGCACTAGTATAAAATAAAATTATTTCAAGCCAGTCATGGTTCAAGAGCAGGACCTCGGTACAACAGGTGATCATTGCATGAGAATGCATTGGTTATTTTAAATTTTTTCCAAATAATATAGCAATTATAAGTAAGAGTAAATGGCATGTACGTCCAGGAAATGAAGATTCAACTTCATTCTTATCAATGAAGAATTGTCAGATTGAATGATATAGAGATAACGAACAGTATTCAATATCAAATTCCATAAAACAATACAAAACAGGATCAGAGCAAACACGGAGCTCCAAAACATCAGAGGTGGGATGATGTGCCATGGAGGAGTGAGCATCCCCTGCGACCGGTCACACCCGCCAAGTGCTCTTGGTCATGATCGGGAAATAACGGAAAATACGTCGTCAATACAGTGTATATATAATAGACTAACAATTACATGTACATGTAGTATGAAAAACGTCAGTCAGCATTTCACTTAATGATAAATTTGCTGACAAGGTCATTGTATCGACCAAAGAACTTACGAAATGATGACTTTAAACGAGACTGCTGATATTCTTGTTTCATCAACCTGCCTGTCAATAACTAACCTCGTTTTAGAAACTGTACATAGACCATGCTCTAGAGTATGGAATCGATATATAAACACCGTATGCAGGTGATGAAGGTATATTGATGCATAGGTAAGGGAAGTTGACGATAGAAAAGTTAACGTCATCACGTTTATCACAGAGCTTGGTTGTTAGATAACCATTAACGTCTTTTTAAAGTAAAATAAAAAGGCAAAAGTTTCAAAGAAAAAGTATTTATGTTTAAACAACCTTTTATAAAAATAAACAAACTTACAATTTTAAACATTACGTTTGTCACAAGCTTCTATAAAATAACAAAATCATAGTTTTTTAACTTGATTACAATGATTAAATGATTTAAGAATCATGGCTAAACTTTGATAATCATAATGAAGATTTTAATTACGAACAACTAATTTTAGAATCAGATTTCCCCTATTTTTACTCTATTTTATGCACTGGTCACGATTATTCTTTGATTTTGAAGGTGAGTTACGGGATTACACTGGATCCTATCTGACTTCTTTCTACTTTATGGGGGCTACTGCTGTGTTGGGAGGTTTTATAATGTTGTTGGAACCTTTGGGACGTAGGATGATGAAGACAAAACAGAACGATGCAGACAGTAAAGAAATGCAGCCTATGATGAATAAAACTAACCAAATAGAATAAATCAAAGTTAGATTAATGTGCATGAACTGTTAAAAAAGGTTCATTTGGTTTAAAAATCCTGTGTTGTAATATTATCATTTTTATGTAATATTATATATTAAAATAAAACTAATTGTTTTCCCCCAAATAATAGAAATGAGTTAAACATTATGTTTGGTTTGAGTTTGAAATATTAGACTTCAAATGTGTGCTTTCCCTGTATCAAATGAGGTATACACATAAATAATAATTTAGTTTTATCATAACCTTACTGTGATATAAACTCTGGTATAATAGCCTTGCCTGTATCTTAGTGGGATTTTATATTAATCTTAACCTGTTTTCATATTTGATTATGAAATTGGCATGTTTAAATGAATATTTATTTCCATTCTATATGTAATTGCTAGGCCATGATTTACGTACGAAATTGTGTTACGGATTTTCCTTTTTTCGATCATGACAGGCAGCACAAGGCGGCAGATGTGAACGGTATGAAAAGCTGAAGAGGCACCTGATTCCACCTTTGTAGTTTTAAAAGGTCCGTATTGGTACTGTTCTTTATGTATATTGTTTAAATAGACTTTTGAGTATGATTTCTGTCCATTATCTTCATTTATCACTAATGTTACTCTCTGTATGTGATGAAAGGGATGAAGATAATAACAATGATCGAACTCAAAATGTCTATAAACAATACAAATCTGTAAACAGACTCAAAACACAGACCCCTGAATTACAGAGGTTGGACCAGGTTACTTCGAGAAGTAAGAATCACCTGTTGACCGGTCACACCCGCCGTTAGTCCTGTCTACTGATCAGATGGATGGAACCACCCTTATCAAATATATATAGTATGAAACAAAAGCCTAACAATTGGTATGAAACAAGTCGGCCAAAATGATTAATAAATAGAGGATATTCAATGTTTTGTAGTTGAATATAAAATTTATTTCACGAGTGGGACAGGATTTATTTTATATTTTCACGAGTGTGAAGCTCGAGTGAAAATAAAAAAAAACTCTCACGAGTAAAATAAATTTCTTATTCAACTACAAAACATTGAATTTTCTGTTTATTACATTTTCTTTGATTTCCCCTTTTCCTCTGTCTTTTTCCAATGCAGTCATAGTCTATTGGTCACACTGTGAAAGGATATCATTTTTTTTATATCTTTTCACACTGACAGAATATCATTTTTATTCAATGAATAAATAAGAGTATTTCACTGTTAAAAATGTAAAAATATGTTATATTTGCTTTCAGTAGATCATTATATCAACTATAGAATGAATTTAATAATGGTTTTAAACGAGATTGTCTTAACCCTGTTACATCAATTTATCTGTCAGTAGCCTGTCCCGGTTAACAACATTTATTGTTCTCGAAGCATGTTCTTGGATACACATTAACAACCAATTCAGGTAGAATATTAGTATTGCTATTAAATAAAGGAAACTTAGGGTGGGGATGGTGGAAAATCTTGTATGTCAGACACTTCAGTTTTTAGTTAACCCTTTTCGTCTACAGACAGTAAAACATCTAGATGATACTAATTTGGCACACTTTGTGGTGTGTTTTTTGTTTCAAATTTATTGCATATATCGAGTCGACTTATGAATAGAATGTCAAGTTGGAGGCTATAAGATGTTTTTTCTCCTTATCATGTAGAGTATTTTGACGAATTTTACTTCAGGGAGAATAAAGTTTAGGAAGGTCCGGTCTATATACTAGTATAAATGCTTTAGTGAAAAAACTGTAGCATTCCTTTTAATATAAATGTCAGTGTACTTTATGTGATTTTTTTTACAACGGAATATTTTGGTAATATTCAATCACAAGATATAATGTAAGAACATTTCCGAATTCCTTTTTTATTGAAGTAGCAGTTCTATGTGGTATTAAAAACCCTAGATTAAAAAATTTATCACGAGGAATGGTTGTATAAAATAAATCCTACTTTTTAATGTCATTCATTTGTGAAAATGATGATGATGTCAAATTTTCTAAGAATTCTGTAAAATAGTACCCTGTATATGGCTGTTCCACAGACCCGGGGGTGAGAAAATTTCCCGGTTGTTCTTTAACATTCCCCAATGTTATACACTTTCTGACAAAAATTTAAAGGAATATCTTAAATTTCTTTTTATATTATTTTCCATTACCTCAAACTTGTTTCTTGACGTAAATTTTCGAATGTCTGCAAATCAAAATATGTTATGCAAGTTGTCGTTCTTCTTACAATAAAAAATAACGATTCTAGGTAGGAAATTTTTTCCGCGGGTTTCAGGTTATGCGGCCAATTTCTAGAAATTAACAGATTTAGAGAAATTTTCTACATAGACCCTTACTCTAATACTGAAATCATAGCATGTATAGTCACAAATTATACTTTTTAACTTTTTCTGTCGCAAAACTACTTGATATTGTGAACTTAAATGATTGTAAAATGGGTTGTTATGCTTGAATGGGTTTGTTCCCGTTTTGCACACATTTAATTACAGGTAATTAAAAAATGTGTGAAAAACGGGAATTTGACCAGGTGAAATAATTACTTAATTGCTATAGTCTATACTATTCATGTACTTAGCTTAGTAAGTATGTGAAAGATGAACTTATTGTGAAAAAAATAAGAGAATAAATACAAAGTTAATGTATTTGATTATCTGATGATCTTATTATAACATCTTTTCAAATTAATTTTTATTTATTATTTTCTTAATTATATGTCATATCTTTAATTCATTTAGAATTATATCAAGATTGAAAAGTACATATTCTTTTTTAAGAAATTGGACTTAATGATAAATAATATGAAACAAATATTAATAATTTACTCAATAAAATCAAATATTTTCCCATGAATATGTATGGAATTTTAATAAAATGCTTATAAAATTGTATTAAACCTCTTAAGAATACATTAAGCTAAATCAGATATTCACAGGTAAATCCAGGTAAATCCAAACCAGAAAAATCAGACTATAATTGCTATCAAAACACACTTCACACCTGTTGTTCTATACTAATTACCAAATGTGTGCAAAACGGGAACACACCGGCACACCCTTGAATGTAACCCCGTCAACACATCCAGAAGTTTAAAAAAGCCCTCCGGACCTTTGTAGAGACTTGTTACTTCTAGTAATGCTTTGCCTAAAAGTGGAATATCTGACATCTTCAAATTAAAATGTCCGAGTAAACACACTTAATCCGTAATAAAAGTATTTCAAAGTAAAATTAAAAGAAAAAAGGTGAAATTTTGCACTGGTGTTGCATTGACGTTTATTAATTTTCATTAACTTCATCAGCTTCTCTCTTTGCAAAGGACCGTTTTAAGACATCAGGTATAAAAGTAATGGCGCAGCGCTCGTGTACAATAAATTGAAAAAACTGTTCAAGAAATAGAGCGTTGATATATAAATTAAATGAAACAATGTTTAAAAATATCATAAATAGAATGTAATTAGTTTTCTTCATACAAATACTTGTATGTGTTATTCCTAAAACTTTTATAAGCATTATTTTGATTAATATGTATATATTCTTTCAAGCTGGCTTTTCATTTGGTCTGCCACAAAATCTCAGTCTAGAGGCAAGAAGCTAACACATGCAGAACAATATTTCTAGGAAATTTACTCTCTTTCCGATGCTGTCACTAATATTTGAGTGCAAGGTCAGGAAAATTATGTTTCTAAGCTCCAAGCGATCCAGAGTGCCTTAGTTACGCATATGCGAAGGGGGTCTAGATTCCGTTTATTTGATTAAGATAGAATAATTCTCGATTTAAAAATAAATAAATTGATAAAGCATCAATATTTTCTTTTACTTTAAACAGCTTTCATTCTTCCATAGTAATAGTACCATGTAGCAAAAATCAGCAAATTTTTAAGCAACATTACAAGGTACTATATAGATATTCAAATTTGACATGACACCTGATCTCACTTCTGGTGTTTTGAGGTCTGTGTTTGCTCGTCTTTCATTTTGTAATGTTTAAAGGACTTTTCAGCTTGAATACTGTTCGTTATCTCAATGTATTTTATTCTAAGTTTTAATCGAAAATATTTAAACCGTGTAGGGTATTTTTAGAATAGCACTGCAATTACCATTTTACACTAGGTCATGAATTGTTCTAATATCGTAAGGAATAAAGTTCTATCATGATATACCTACAATAAGTATAAAATGCTTTTCAAAAATTAATATGTGTGCCAACTGTTGCCACGATTTATACATGTAAATGATTTATAAATTCTTAGAAATGCTTTTGTGGGAGTGTTAAATCTGGTTTTCTTAGTCAATAACGACTCAAATAAGCTTGTGATCGAATATTTTCTCTAAGCTTTTTTTGTCCGTTATTTTGGCAACCAAGGCACATGGCAACCAAATTTTGTTTGTTATAAAAAGGAGTAAAGAGAAAAGCTCTTACACTATATAAATATTATTAAGTTTTTCTATGAATTTTTATTTCCCATAGCTCAAACAAAGCTAAAACGGATGCTTAATATTTTCTGAACTCTTAATTTTATCCGTGTGCATGTATAGATACTGTGTTTGAACTGATACATGTATTGCAGTTTTGTATTATATATTGCGAATTGATTTGCTAGCATGTCCTCTTTGAAAATTTAACACAATTTAAAAACTAATTTTAATTGGTTTCAAATTGATTACTGATACAATAATTAAGAGAGGTAACAAAAGAGATGTGTTACATCTTATTATATCGATCTCGTGCATTTAAAAAAAATCAATCCTTACAGTAAATTAAATTTGCATAAAAGCATTTCAAAGGTACTCAATTTACTAACAGTAAATGTACCCCTAATCTTTACTTCTCTTCAAAGCATTCCATTTCAATGACAAAGCACAATTCATCATAATTAATGCATGTAATGCCAAAGCATAATACATTGTACCACCAAATAAATATATGTTACAATTTTTAAACCACAGTATACAGATAATAATAAACAAATTATAACATTTGGGTGCATGATATGACACATATGTTTCAT